CACATAGCTCAAATGAACACTGAAACACTTCATGAATTGATGTCAATATTTTTTATGACCTACCCTCACTCTTTTATTCCAATCGAATTTTACGTCAGCTAAGACTGCTGGACAAGGAAGGAGGTAGCTCAGCATACGCAATACACATAAGCGTGGAATGGAAATGAAATGTTGCTCAGCAACCACTTTTGCATTTACATACAGCTGAAATACAACCGCACGCATACATACCTAATGTGTAAGGGCTAATCATACCAAACTATCTATATTGGTTAAACACAGTTCGAAACTGTGACCAAGTAGTTGGAAGTAGACTACCTAGACCCATAGGTCACAGCCTTACAGGACTATGTATAATAGGTATGGTTAAAGCTTTGCTTTATAAAAAGAAAAGATTAACTTACTCAGAAATGATCATTTAAGGAGTTACTTTATTAAATCATTCTTAAGACTTATCCATTGATTGTGGTCATCTGACAGTACAAGGCAGGTAAAGAAAAAGGAAATAACAATGGTGTTTGTTTTCTACTCGAACCCGACCGACAGCTGCTGCCTTGACGTGATGGTTGGGCTTGTATATATCAATGACCCAACAAACTACACTGGATGGAACTATTGTTTCTGCAGGTCCCACCATGCCACGAAGATTCGTAAAATAGCTACCAGGCTAAAAGCAGTTACCGGAATAGTGTAAAAGTTGGGTCTCTGGGCGAAGTCGTACTGCTGGGGATTAGGGATGTAACAGCAGTAAGGTGTTTTCCTCAGATGACCAGCATTCTAGCTATGCTGTCTCTTCAATCTGGAGAGAGGGGGTTAGAAAACGTCGAACCCAGAAATTGTACACCCCAACTTCCCCTGCGGTGGTCTGTAGCCAGTGGTAAGTTACTTATATGGGATCAAACCAAAAAGCCATTTCATACAGACCGTGTATGACCAGCCTCAAGCAGTTATCCCCTGGGCTCTGTGGTCACGCGACACTAATTCTATTTCTATTTCAGGTACCCCAAGAATAAGTCAACTTTCATGTTGTGGGCAGCAGCCAGGAAGTAACAACTGCTCACACACTTCCAAAAGTACACGAAGCCCTCCTGATCTTCATCAGTCGGCCAGTTTCTACTTGAATCTTATCGAACAGTTTAGCTGAATAGATAATTAAGATTAACAAGTGAAATGTAGTACAGAGTTTTGTACTTTGAAGTTTCTGTAGCGATTAGATTGAGTGACATCACGTATAACAACCTCAACTGGAACCTGAAAGGGAAAAGACAATTTGGCCGTCCTAGGGTGACACACAGAGGAGTTTGTATGAATTGGAGGAAATGAAAGCTTATAGGCAGTAGTGGAGCCAGCCAAAAAATGACTGTAGGGAACAGAATGAAAAGGAGATGCGCTGTTGTGAAGACTGCTCAGAACCCAAGGGAGTAATTATAATGATAACTATAGAAGTATTTCACTTCACTTCATTGATGACTCGTTCACTTCAGCTTTCCCGATAATGTTATGCATATAAATGCTTGTTGTGAAAATTTAAATCGTGTGCAGTAAAATTCAAAGAAACAATATGCTCGCCATATATATATATATATAAATATATATATATATCGCGAACAGGCAGAAGTTAGAATTCATGGACCATAGGATCGGGCTGCAGTGACTCAGTGGCCTACGAGCTCACTATGCCACCTGAAGATCCTGGGTTCGAACCCCAGTGGGTACCCACCGCTAAAGGGTCCCAAACTGGAGCAAAACAGCTCTCCACTACTCTCTGCTGGATTTCAAATGGTTTACTAACTCGTGTCAGATCTTGATCAAACTCGTAAGCAATCAAATCGCTGCAAACCAGCTCTTGAAAACTATGCCTATTTGTCAAAAACCAGATTTCATCATAAGCACGCGAAAATTATGCACATATGAAGTAACTGAGTACATACGCGATTGTGTATACAATTCCAGAAGAAATGTCAAACGCTCGTCACTAGGACATACTAGAAGTAAATATGTGTAACACAGCATTTATCGAATTTAAAAGTCAATATAATGCGTGTTAAATAGTTACTGTGAAGTAGCATGTGTAGCAGCAAGTATTAAACTGCTTATACATGCAGTTGGAAATGAGTCTCACCTTTTGTGTGATAACTACTAATACCACCTCGCTGCCCAAACTTCAATAAGTGAAACGGGATATAAAACTGCGAGCCAGTGATTGGTAACTGAGTCTTAAACCATTTGGCCACGGGTGGATACAAGTGTTATAGGTGTGAGGATGTCAAAGTTAGGATGGCAATAGCAAGACAGACCTTCATTGCTCTGAAATCAGCGTGGAAATCTGCCGCACTCAGTATAAAGAAAAAGACCTGGGTCTTCAACACTAAAGTCAAGTCATGAAAAGCATTTCCGACAGATTACTACAGAATTTCATTAACAACTGCCTTCGCTAATTCGATGATGAAGATCATATGGCCAGAAAAGATGAGCAACAGGGAACCGTGGGCACGAACCAACCGCAAAAACCTGTTGCCTAGCAAATATACCGAAGGGAAATGGAGATGAATTGAACATACGTTCTGTGGAACCTGGGCGCCAGGCCCTTTAATTGAACCAGAATGGGAAACAACGAGTTGTGCGCGAGTTCAACGGTGACATGGAGGAGATCATCATGTGAGGAGGAAATATAAGCTCAAAGGCAGGTATAGGGCCAATCACAGAATAGTGAAAAGAACAGAGTAAAATGCAGATGTGTTACTGAATCCTTAGGAGCCCAAGGTAATACTAATAATGGATAAAGGAGGATGAAGCATAAATCCAAAAGGAAAAGTTTTGTAAACATTTCACAAACGTATAAGAGCTTTTAGAATCTAAGAGATATGAACAACCTACATGTTTAGGAACTAGATAACAACTACCTACTGCATAAAGTTAATGTTAAATATCCTCAGTGGTATTATATACGGTATTCATTATATATTACCATCTTAAAATAGGAATATATCCAGATTTGAAATAATAATAGTATCACTTTTCATTTCAAATTCAGTATTTAAAAAACAACAACATAATATACCGAAAATGTTTTTAGTGAATTCATCTCCCATCACATATAAACAAATGTTAATTACGTCAAGTCATACAATAACTTTTCCAGATACAACTAACCAAACAACTTCACACTTATTCACTCCACCGTACACGCCCACCTGGTTTTCCACTAGAGTAGGCTTAGGCTTCAAACACCAAGCAGCTTATTTTGATTTGACCAGGTAATTCAATACTTTCAGTCTTTGAATAGTATTACGTATGACTCATACCCCCCCCCCCAATATACGTTGCTGGTCGAAATCATTTGCAAGAAATAGATGTACTAGCATATAAACCACAATCATTCTGTGAAGCCAGACAATACCATACAGTTGTTCTGGCTTAAGTAGCTATATCAGAACTTCAATCCTGAAGCAGTTAGTTAAAAACTCAACACTTAAAGTAATAAGCCTCATCTCCATTATATAAAAAGAATGTATAGTATAACCGAATTGCATTATTAGTTATCAGCACTAACACACTAAAAGCTCCTTTCAGACGTAACTCAAGTGGGAACTATAGATACACAATGGGGTTCTGGATACTGCAGAACGACAAATAAATTACCTATTTATTTACCCGCTAAGTAGTATAAAAATTGGTGAGTAGATAAGAAGTAGTTTCTAATTATAAAACTTTATTTTACAGCAATAATAGAGTTAGGAAATTCAAACAAATACTTAACAGCTGAAAAGGTAGATACAACAACTATTTAAAAGCATAAAAATTAATCATTAAAACTTAAATGATCACACAATATATTAGGTATATTACTATTTCAAAATAATACAATTATTGAACGCTACCTCATACAGACATACACTTTTAACAATATGTAGACCCCACACTCTGTCTATCTGTAGGATTTAATCAGACCCCCTAGAATGTCAAGTCAGGTCCTCTATATGGTTCAGAGACTCAGTGTGTCACGAAAAGCGTTTCCAACAGGTTACTTCAGCCACCTTTACCTGATACTGATACCCTCTTTGTTGGGTAAAGAGGGAAAATCAATCGAAGAGGCTATAAAGTTACATAGATTGAGATGGCTAGGTCACGTGCTGCGCATGCCTAACCATCGCCTCCCCCGACGGGCATTACTAGCTGATATAAGTGCAGGTTGGAAAAGAGTAAGCGGTGGCCAAACAAAAACATGGCATCAATCCATGAAATCCCTGACAGTTAAACTGAGTCAGGTTGGGAGATGCAGACTTCCGGGTTGGTGCCCTCGGGACTCTAAGAATCAATGGCTGGAAGCGATAGGCGATATGGCTCCAAATCGTTGTCAACGGCTTACGCAGATGTATTCAGTCTCTGTAATCTTTCATATTGCTTTCTACTATTACTCATTCTATTTCACTCTTATACTTGTCAAAACCCTATTGATTCTCTTCACTCATCTTCTTGTCTACCTTTGTGTGCTATTTGGAACGTAGCAACTCGAACTGCTGCACTTCGGTGCCAAGTTCTATGTTGAATCCAGCCAGCCTGATACTGAGGATCAGATAATCAGAAAGGATAAATAACATGGAACTCTGACAGGTAACGAACCAATCAACAATCTATCGTCTAACAAATATACCGAGCGAAATGGAGATAAACTGGGTATAAACGCTGAAGAGACCATTTTATTGACTTCACGCGCCAGGCCGGCTCTCGAGTGGAACGCGAATGGGGGACGACGAGTTAGGCGTAGGTTCATCAAGGATGATATACAGGTGATCGTGTGAAGACAGAAGATGGAAGCTTATAGTCAATTGTGAAGCTGGCCTAAAATGGAACTTCAGAGAACAGAGGGGAATGGAGATGTGTTGTTTTGAAGCCCTCTATATTCCACTCGAAACCTCAGGGAATAATAATAGTAATAAGTATACTCTGAAACACAATACATCCATTGATATTATTTATTTCTATGAATATAAACTAACCTGAGATAATTTTCTTAAGCATATATCATCCATTGGTATACGATTGTTCCTATTACCAGCATGCATATCAACAGTAGACATTTCAGATGATTTTGCTTCGAGTCGATTATGTCCAGATGTAATACCATTACTGTTATTATTATTATTGTTAGTGGTGCTAGCCGTAGTAGTGTTAGTACTAGTGACAATACTTGACTGACCTTCAGGAAACAGTTTCATATTAATAGGAGTAAGTGATTTCGATTTTGTAAACTTCTCATGATCTGTATGATTTTTATTGCTGTTATTATCATTCATTATGATGATTTGATTGCCATTATTATTACTATTATTATTGGGATTACAGCTATTATCAGTAGCAGTAGTATATACACTTTCTGATGTCACATTATCATTATTTTCAACACCACTATCATCATTATTATTGTCATTATTACTATCATTGTTATTATTATCAATAGAACAGACAGGATTTAAATGTCCCATACTATTATTATTATTGTTGTTATTATCAGTTATTGATGTTGATGCAGAATTCCGATGATAATCACTAACACGTCCTGAATCAGACAAATCTAATAGGCATGTATTTCTATTACTACTACCACTATTATTACAATAACTATGACTGCCTTTATTTGATGATGATGTCGCTGTAGGTGGTATACGAAACGCCCAACCAGTTGCATTCAACGATGAACTTAACCGATATGATAATGAATCGTTAGGCATTAAAGATGTATATGATGATTGTTGTGTGTGAACAGAAGATGACGATGAAGTTGACGTGGAGGTAGAGGAAGAGATAGATGAAGAATTCGAGTGATAATGATGCTTATGATGATGGTGATGATGATTGTGTGATGTAGGATGATGAGAATGCGAATGAGAATGATGATGATGTTGGTGTTGATGTTGTTGCTGGTGATGAGCAAAATTTGTGTATGAATCATCATTTACATCAATTAAATCTGTTGTCGACGACTCGAATATACCACCGTCAGCAGTTGATGATAAAGATTTACATACAGGAATCTGTGAAGAGCGTAGAGATGATGATTGAAATTTTCCACTTTCATAATTATGATAATCACTTATAGTGACTGAATGTGACTTTTTACAATTTACAGATGTGACTTTTGTTTTATTTGAATTATTAGTATAAACAGCAGTACTAGTAGTTGTAGTAGTTGTAGCTGGATACAATGGATACAACCATTCAGCATCCCAACTATTATCTTTATATAAATGTACCAGCTCAATGATTACTTTGCCTTCTTTATATCGTTGACTTGGTTCAAAAGCACGTTCATACTTCCAACCAAGTGCTGTATCACAACATGCACAAAATATATCAGCTACAAAATGTAATCCAGTTAATAAGACGCGCTGTTTAGCTTCAGCACAACGAACATTTACAGCCTATAGAGAGAAAAATATATAAAAAGAATCAAAATTGTTGGTTGGTTAGTTAGTTAGTTAACTTCAAGCTTCTCTTATAATTATTAATCATAAGAATAATCCCAAAACTGTTAGTAATACTAACGTGAAATTGGTTATTATCTATGTTTAGCGTTAGACTGAGAACTTTCCCATGGAACAACCTTAACATTTTTTTGAGTTTTACTTTTCAGATGTTCTCAAATATCATTATTATTTCAATTTCATTTAATTATTATACCTTTGTAGATTGTAGTTTCTGAAGAGTGGTAAATTGGACTAATGCACTCTTGGGCAAAGTTCTGAGTCGTTAAGTCAAGCAGTTATTCTTACGGAAATAAACCAGTGAATAAAAATATATTCGTTGAAGCTGGATGATTCAGCTAAATAATTGGCTAAGAAGAATAAGGCTAATCTATAACACATTTGCTTTACCACTGCAAACCACCTTCCGAAGTATAATAGAAATAGGATGCTCTTATTTTGAGCACAGTTACCCACCGGATACATTACATATGCAGTCTATTTGCCACAGAAAAAAAGAAAACCTAAGGTTAGCTAAACTCCAACTTCCAATATCATGACGCGACTCCCACTACTCGGTGAAATAATGCACAGACTAATAATTACCAATAAGTAAGGCATATGCATTATTCAACGAGATTAAATGTAGTCATCACAATCTAACCTTTTGCGTGCACTATTTGTTGGCTACGTCTAAGTAAGTGGATGCATACCAGAACCAGAAGATAGCAATTAATAATCACTATATAAAAGTGGAGACAGAAGTAATAGATGGCAACTTAGACAGCAGCATGGATGTGAATAAAGGTCTCAGTAATGTGTATGACAGTAAATTTAACGCAACCTCTAGTTGACTTCAGATTCAAATACTGACCCAGCCTGGACAACTGAGGTATGTGATGATCATTCACACAAAAAGTGTGGCTTATAGTCTGATAAACAAAAAAATCCGTTTCAAATTACTGCATTTCGACTTTTTATGTGATTCTAAACTGTACTCACCAGGAGACAGCCAGAATCTTACAATAAACTACATACAATTTATGCTAAATAAAAATTATGACACTCACTGTTCTAAAGGATTCGAAAGTACTTAGTACATATTTATGCAACGATCTTTGGTTTGGGACGAAAAAGATGTGAATGAGGAACTTATTTAAATGTCTGCTAACTTCACACTAAACATATTGTATATAATTATAGACAAAACTCAGTTACCTCGTATAGACATTTCTATAGTTTAGGCTATGAGGCCATACGTCACCACCTGATCGTACACACAGAATGAAGTGTGACTAATCAGTTGATGTTTAGGCACTTAGACAATGATGCATGGTTCCAGATAAAAACATGAACGACAACTAAGTTAACAAGCTTGCAAGTCACCGAATGAGTTGAAGTGTGAACAAGACAGTTAACTCCACGCATTTACCTCCTTGTAGTTTAATTTATTTGCTAAACATCTAAGCGCTGGATAACATTCTAAAACAAAAGAATGTACATTTTCTCAAGCCTTAAAATATGGAAAGGCCTCTTGGCCTTACTTGTTTTACAGTCAATATTACAACTAGTTAATGATCAAAGGGTTTAGAAGTTAAGCGGCGAGAAACTCCATTCAGGAAACAACAGCTCATAGTAGAACCAAAATTTGATATTGACCACTATTTTAGTGATTCACCGTCGAATATTAAAATAATAATAATGGCAATCCCTCTTATTAAGTAAAAAAAACTTGAGGATTGGACAACCATTACTGGCTTAGTTTCAATTAAACAACGAATACACTTTTGACATTATAGCATTCGCTTTTCATCGTTCCTCGCTTTTCACTTATAAAGGACAGTTACATTTACTTTGCAAATGTGGAAGTACTCTTACAACTTTCTAAAATATGCTGGAAGGAAAACTTTCTCCTCTGTAAATATTTCCTTTTACGACGTCACATGGTAGTTTTCCACTCCCTAAGAAGTCGACTATCCAAACATCAACCGGCTTCAAGCCTGTATAGTAGATGGCAAAAAATGAAAGTGCTGATATTCTTTTATCCCAATAACTTTAGTGAAAGAACCGTGTACACATTTTAAGCATAAATTCGTGACACACTTACCTGATTAAATAAATAAGCACGACCTTGACTTCCCTGGAAAGATTTACTAATAAGATCATCATGACGAGCGAGATGAGCGCGACAATGAAGGCAGCTATATGTCATAGAATCCTTTTCAAACGGAAAGTATGTCTGAAATTTTCCCTTAACCATATCTGATATTCTAGAAAATCCGCATGATACAATTAAAGAAACTCAATCGCCAGAGACGAGTGTCTGAAGAAGCTTCGTTATCCCTGAAAACGATCAAGAACGAACACCAATAACAATATACAACATCGGGATAGGTTATTCTGAAAAGTGAACCAATATTTCCACAGACATAAATATAAAATCAGTAGCAAAATCCAAAATAATAATAAGTTAAAATTGAGAAGCATTTAAGCATCTTTAAACCTTCTAAAGACAGCATTATTATGTAATTGGTCGTGATTTGTTAGATCGATTAAATTCTAATGATACACTTCATACATTACACTAGATTCCATGAGAACTAAGTGTTTTTATAATGCATAAAAATTAACAAATAGTTGGAGAATTACTTATAGGATATCTCCCCGTTACCTGGCGCCTGAGATTTCTAACCGTATTCGTGAACAATTATGCATAGGTGTAATTGAAGCATATAAACAAACATTTGTCCAATGTCTCTAATGTAATTTCGCATCGATAGATGCTTCAGAAGCAGTCTACTTTCAAGCTGTATTCTACATTAGCACGCCGACTTCCCCTTAAGCACCTCCTGCGCCTAACTTACTAAGCCAATATTCTTGGAAGTAAATTATTATTATTGTTCCGGGAAGTAGCCAGCCTGCAAACAATATCAATACACAGATGCAGTCTTAGCTAAAATAAGGCGATTGTTCTTTAGCTGATTAGCGAACCAGTTGATGAAAACATTGTGGCTTGCGTCAGTCAGAATGTAGGTCTACCAATCATTAAACATTTTTGGATATGATTAATTTCACTTTGCTATAATCATTACATAGTTTAATTAATTGCTAATCTGAGTAAGATAAGGGCACACTTCAGCTGCATTTCTCACAGAAATAATACTGTTACTTATATGAAGTACAACAAGTTACCACGATGATTTCAGATTAATGAACGACTGTCATGCTTTTCCAATCTTGTGTCTATTTGACGCCCTCGAAAGTGTGCCTGTAGGTCTTCGAGTCTACACTGTGAGGAAGATAAATCGCCTACGGAGTTACGATCACTCCAGAATCCTCTTGCTGGCTCAACATATGCTGGCCTTCTAGCTCCCCATAGTGTATTGCATTGTCTGGCACAGCACAATCAAGAATATCATTGGTTATGGCATGTAAAAATGGTTATACACCTGCCTTTTCTAGAGATGTTTCTCTGGGCCTTCGGTTGGGAATTACTTGACATGTGATGTCGTCACACGGCTACTGAATGAGGATGAGAAATACTTACGCATTGCAATCCATATTGCTGAAGCATTTTGCAAATTATTTATCAGCCGACGCTATCAATGGCCTCTACAAAGCCAACTAATGTGAGGCAGAGATTTGTTTAACATCCTATGCCTTGCCAAATGATGTATAGTGCTGCTACCGGATCTATGTAAAAATTTTTTCCCTGAATTAAGCTTCCTTCAATCGACGTCTTGGATCCAGAGTGTTTTTAAGCCTCTCAAGGATGAAGACACTTAATACTTTGCTATTAGGGGCCAGCTGCATGACTCCACTCCATTTTTTCCATTGCCAGAGTCGCATTTCTTTGAGAGTTTGATTCAGTAATCTCATTTCTGGTTCACACGTACCTCTCTTACCTTCTAAACCTTTCTCATAAGTGTCGTAAATATACCTTCTGTGGTCTCTAAGTCCGTTTTCAGTGGTTCCTTCTCCTTCGGCTTTCACTAGCCTTAAAACATACAAGGTTTCAGCTTTTGTGGGCTAAATGATTTCCATTGACAGTTTTGTGGCTGTAAACGTTATTCCTGGGCCAGTTGTGCGTGGTAATCGTTTCAAGAGTCCTTTAAAGTGATCAGCCCATTGTTTCCTGTGATTTTCCTTTCGGGGATTAAGTTCTCTTCATTATCTTTCGTTGGTTTCATCGGTACCTATCTGTACTGAGATAGAGACCTCGTTATCTATTATCTAGAAATCTCTTACGCGCACTCTTTTCTTTGACTTCATCTATTAATGTGGCATGGAGTTTTCTCTGGTCTTTTCCGGCAATACCCTTCACTCCTTTGTTCAGTGCGCCGTAGATTGAACTTAGCTTCGTTGTCCATCCTTACAACGGTTCACCCACTATTTCATCATTTCCCCCTCGTCTATTAGCTCACAGGTGTCCGTAGAAAGCACTTCTTTGTCACGACTCTTCTTTCTTCCCAAAACGGATATGCAGGTTTCCTACGACATCACTTTCAAACAATGCCGGTGTGTGATATAAGAATAAAACTTGGGCACTGTGGTAGAGTGTAATTCCATTATGGGTAAATTTTATTTTGATAGAGTCTCATTGTGTTATACAGTGTTTCGCCACAAGTGTTTCCTCACTGGAATCACTCGATATCTCCTAATTTTCCCCGATGAAGAAAATAGCAAAAGCAAAACGACCCCAAATTCACTCCAGGAACCATGTCAATTTAGAGGTGTGGAATTCGGATTGTTATCCGAGCTATTTAATATTTGAAGAATAATGATTTTATCACTCAGGAATTTTATAAAACTTATAAATATGTGTGGATAACTTGGCTGTATACAGTGGGTCAGAAAATGACCAAATAGATCATGTATTATTACACAGAAGCTATTTTAGTTGTGCTGCAGAATTTGAAATATGTTTTAATAAGTTTAAATCATAGGTAGCCAAAAGCAGTGTTATCCTTCGGGGCTATAAAGTACCCAACACAGGGAGAGAACATTTTCTCAAGAAGATCGTCACAGCTGAGACTGGCGCAATACCTAATTTGGAGGAAAATTTCAGATAGTGACCTTGAAATGCGGCAATTTGCAATTGGTTAGTCAAAAACGTAGACTAAACGGCTCAGCATCTGTATGAGTTGCTGGATAATGCAAGATTTACGTGGACCGGAGAGACACAGCAAACCTTTACTCCAGTCAGAGAAATCGCAAGTAATGAACAGATAACATGAAATCTCCAGGTACCAGAATGTCAACTCACAGATTACGTAGGCGCACATAAGTAATAATAATAATAATAGTATATTCTCATTTTTTACATGAGGGACACCAGTTTACAGGCATCATCACTTCGATAAATTACACATACGATTAGTAAATATAGTTAGTAATGATAATATAATAAGGTACATATTTGTTCATACAAATATAGGAAAAACAAGTTCTATAGAAATGGATAAGAATTATTTAAGTCAAATATTTAAATTACATGATTTACGGTTAAATAACATGGTTGCTGTCATTTTATCTTTAGTTTGTGGGGAAAATCGGATAACTGGTGATTCAATGGAACACACCAAGAAATATAGAGATATTGACTTCGCATTAACAAAAAAAACCCAAGTATGCGTTGGATGGATTACATACACTTGGGAAAATAAATAAAGCTTGAAGTCAATTCCCTCATAAAACAATAAAATGCGTCTTACAATAATATATTCCCACTTCATGCACATGAGGGACTCCAGCTGACAGGCATCAACAATATGGTAATAATGCACACATGGAGTAAACATGTTTAAAATTTTCCACTAACACAAAATATATATACAAGGGAAGATAATGAAATATTGACCGTAAGTACACTCTGCATAAGGTAAAACAGTTTATATGGCATAATCCTAGGCACTATTATTGTTTGAATTTGTTGAACATGAGCGAAACAACTGAGTGTTGCGTTACATTCGGTCGATATGGTGGGCTAGTCACAAAAGTATAAAAATGGCTTATAAAACGTTACTCAGTTTACCGTAAACGATGTTTTAAGCAATATAAACTGCAAACGGCTCACTACAGCAGTTAGTATCCAGTTAAACATGCAGAGAAGTAATCATAATTCAGCAACTTGTGAATTTTTATTCTTTTCTGTCTGGAACCTGAGTAACTGCGAACCAATCCATACAAAAATGTCGAAAGAGGCATGCAGGAGCAGAATTTTGCCATCGAATGAGTCATTGGTATCTGAGATGCAGCTATCAGCATATTTTCGTCATTTCATAGATATCCAGATTTATTGACGCTGTGTAGGTTGTGATTTGGATTTGTCATCATGATCGACATATGGACGAATATTCAAAATCGGAATACAACTTGTTTGCCTTTCGGATTTACTTAATTACATCGCGTGTTGGGTTTGATTACTCTGCGATTTTGATATATTCCGCGGTGTCGCCGTGATTATGAGAAGTGTGCATATGCTTTAAATGCATTACTTTGTTGGCTGCAATCCCCACTGAGTGTATACAACGGGAACTGTGGATTTATGTATTTGCTCATAACTATGGATAAAATATCGCCGCATTCCTTTTGGAAAGGAGACCAGTTGGTGGATTATAAATAATGTCCAAGTAACTTATATCCTTCCATGTGATGTTGTGGTAAGTCTCGACCTTGTTTTCTCATACTTCATTCATATGTTGATTATGGTTCAGGCTTTGTATCAGGTAGACATAATTCGATCGACTCTTATTTGTATGAGTGTTATTTTCATGACTGCTGCTTGTTTGTCTGAAATTATAGATAAAGGCAAAAGAAACAACAGGTGTAGTCTCTAAGTTCATACATTAAATGGGCCTATAATTTCTGAAGCTCTTACGTGGGAATTAGCACTGGTATCACTTACAAACCCACTTAGTGTGTCATTAAGAGCTTTTTCAAAGGACACTAGTGAGCTTGCTAGTCGCATTTCCTCAGGTAGTTTGTTCCATATTTGGGCATACCTAATCATGAAAAATTTTTGCCTGGTGGCTGTTTTACATTGTTCTATAGCCACCGTACCTTGAGTGTGTCTAAGGTTATATCCAGTGTCTTCTGAAAACCGAGTACAATTAGTAGGGGTATACACTATGTGGTTAAGTAGTTTATAGAAGAGTACCAGATTTAACCGCAGTCGTCTTAACCATAATGTTTCTAGTCCTAGAATTTCACATTTGGTAGAGTAGTTTGTGCCGTTTTCGGTTCCGATTACTTTCAGCGTGAAGTACCTCTGTACTCCTTCTACTTTTAGTTTGTCTTCTATGCGTATACTACTAAATATGAATGAACAATAGTCTAGGAGTGGGCGCACACAAACCTTGTACAGTAGTATTCTGGATTCACTTCTGTAGAAGTTCCTGAGTAGGAAACCAATAAGCCTGCGTGATTTCGATACTTGTTTCGAGATATGTTCAGAAAATGATAGATTTTGTGAATATGTCAGTCCTAGGTCTAGCACAGATTTGAGTCTAGGGATTTTGTGGCCCTGAATTGCTAGGTCGAGTTCTAGGTTGGGACAGCCTATGCAGAGCCAGCCACACTTTTCGACATTAAACTCAAGTCTCCAGGTGTCACACCATATATCCATTTTTGTTAGTTCTTCATGTATGGAGTTCATAGTTGTACCGATATCTGTGTTTGTGCAGGTATATGTCACCTTTAAGTCATCTGCA